GCTTCCTCACGGACATACCTATGATTTAAAGGAAACATACTTAATGGGATTACTATTTCACTTTAATTTCAAGGGGTGACTTCCCATGCAGAGAGCAGTGAGCTGATTTCCAGTCTGCCTGCGGAAGGTGTGTGCAGGGAAAGCCAGATCTTCAGCCTGGGTTTCTCTTCCTGCAGATGGACACAGGGTGAGGAATCCCATTCAGAGGTTCAGGCAGGTGCCGTGAGTCTGCATTAGCAGATTCACCCAGGGACTGGGTGTCGATCCTTAGCAAACCACTTGGCTTCCCTGTGGTCTGCTAATAACCTGCAAATGGCTCTGCTACACCTCCCCAGCTGATGTTGAGGGAGTCTAAGGGGTACTTTACTCCCAAAAGAATTCCATAGAGGGTCAGAAGGGCTCTGGGAAACCTCTTTTATAAAGATTTGTTATTTCTGTTCCGGATTCTTCTAGAGATTGCTGTGCCTTTTCCTCCTTGGGTGTCAGAGGCAGAGAGTGTAGAACCATCAGCAGCACTGGTAACCCTGTAAAATGATACTGCAAGAAAGGATGTTTGAGAGGGTGACAGCAAAAGTGGCAGCCACTTCATCGTGTGCACCTCACCCTTTTTAGGCTGCTGTGAATGTAGAACAGTCTGGTTTTAATTGAACCAGATTAGTAAAAGTAAATCCTTCTTGCAAGCAGTATTTGGAGGAGGCACACAGAAAATCTGGAGTCGTATGGATTTATCTTGTCCTGTCTTTAGCATCGCTGAGTATCTTGCACGTGGAAACTTCCTCTATTACCAGGTCTAGGTAGGAATGCCCCCACAGAGCCCTGGACAGCAGGAGGTAGGGGAAGGCTATTTACACTATACTATGCTCCAGCCTCATTCAGAAGCCTGCTGCCAGTAGCAGTTTTTCTACTGTATTCCCAGTGCTGAAGCAAGAAATCCATGGTGCAGCTTTATGGGAAGCTTGAATGGGAAATGCCCAAGAGCTGCAGGTGTCAATGGCAGAAAGGTGGCAGATCTGCAGAGATGCACCTTGGCCGTGAAGGCTGCTCTGTGTTGTGTTTGATTTCTGTTTCAGGCAGTAGATGCAGTAACGCTCCGGCGCGCATTCCCAGGGCTGATAGAGTTCTGTTTTACACAAATGCAATGTTATTTGATAGTATCCACCCTGGAGGGCTGGAAGGCCTAGCATGAAAGGAGCAGTCCTAAGGCTCCAGGCTTGACTGGACTTTTCGCTTTGCCACCGTTAGGTACGAAGACAAACATGCTCAGCCAGCGCGTTGTGCCTCCTGACCTAGGGCATCGTGTCAGGATCCTGTCCACTGCCTCCGTGGGAGGCAGCCCTCAGCAAGGTGCTTAGGGATCCGTCTCCCATCATGTACCTGCATACACTGGGAGGAGCTGCAGCTCTTGAGGAGTTAACGGGTGGCCTCGCATCTAGGATCTGGGGTGGGGAATCAGTCCCTTCATGCATGGGCTTACTCAGCTGTTCTTCTGGCAGCAGTCATTTCATCATGAATCAGACTCATTGAAACACTCAGAATGAAAACAGACAGGTAATTTAATCATGGAAAGTTCCTACAGATTCAGTGCCTTCTAATGGGAGCCTGCTGGGGGAAACTGGAGGGGAATTCAGACGTATCTTACCTCTGACATAGGCTGGGCAAAATGCCTGACAAACTTTAGTACAGTAGGTGTGTTGGAGCTTCCTGTCATGTTGGATCCTTGAATGGCTTATGCATGGGTGCTGCACTGCAATGTAGACGTGACACAATGTGGTATTTTGCTAATCTCTTAAGATAATGCAGAGCTGGTGACTGCAGTCTGTACTGTGGGGGAATTGGACACGTAAGTCTGCATGGTGCCTTTGCAGGGAAGCTGAGGCTCCCTGACTTGAGCGGCGTTCTGCTCCATCACGTGGAGCAGGGATGTTGGATGTTTTACTGTTCAGGGATGCTGTTTGGATCTGCAGATGCTGTCATTAGCACTTTGTGAACCATATTTGTAAACATCTATCAAGAGTGATTGAGGAAAGTGCTGTATTCTTCACTATGAGGGTGCTGAGGCACTGGCACAGGGTGCCCAGAGAAGCTGGGGCTGCCCCATCCCTGGCAGTGCTCAAGGCCAGGTTGGACACAGGGGCCTGGAGCAAGCTGCTCCAGTGGAAGGGGTCCTTGCTTATGGTGGGGGATTGGATCTAAATTAGCTTTAAGGTTCCTTCCAGCAGAAACCAGTCTGTGATCCTTCCCAAATGACTTCTCCAACTCCAAGTGTGTGAGTCTGGGATCTGTCCTCCGGGTCTGGGCTGTCTCTCAGGTGGCTGAGCATGTCTCTGATCCCGGATACCTCTGGTTTCCATTGCACCCGTGTGCTTCTCCCCATACCCACCTGCTCCCTGTTTCACTGTGCTCTCACTCATTCCCAGCTGCCCTGCTTCCCTCTGTGTCTTTCTCCTAAACCCTTCCCATGTCCTTTGATCATGTTGTCAGAAAAGAAAAGCTGGTAGTTGTTAGCGGACGTAAAGTACCACAGCCACCAGCAGCCCAGCTCCATCCTGCACTTCTGCTCTCTTGCATCACTGGTGCCTGGAGCCTGGGCTCAGGGGTGAACCAGACCTGCAGGGTTGGGACTGTGCCCCAGTTCTGCTGCTGGGTCAGTAGATGTTGGGCACTGGTAGGGCACCTGCAAGTTAGGCAGAGGAATTATTTCTCTCCCCAAACATCAACAAGAAGCTTCCTGCTGTGGAGATGATCCTTTTTCTTCTTCCGCATTCACAGGAATCATCCTTCTTCCCTGACATCATCATTTGTTGTCATGGAAACCGAACCCTCAGGAAGAGAGGCAGTGGAGCATCCTGGTGTCTGTGGGTGCATCTCGGGCACCATGCGCTGGGTACCCATGTGGGTACGACACACACCATGGTCCCCCCATGGGACAGGAGAGCAGTGGGCTCTGCTCTCTTGTCCTGCAGTCCCTGAACAGCATGGAGCAATCTCACGTTGACAGGCTCAGTGAGAGACCCCAGCCTGCTTCCCCTGCCGATGGGGGAGGCAGGAGGGTGCAGGCAGCACCCAGCACCTTGTGCAGGGCCCCAGCTGTGTCCCAGGACACCCATACCAGGCACAGCTCCAGGCTGGAGGAGGCATCATGGATGTAGTGCTGTCTCCAGCACAGACCCACAATTCCCAGTTGGAATTGGCCTGCACAAGGCTTGTCCAGTGGTATCTCTCTTTATTAGCCCTGTCTGACCTCATTATTAGAAAGAAGCTCAATTTAACGAGCTGCTGGTGCCCCAAGGGAACTCTGAAAAACAGTTGTTTCTCACAAAGGCTGCTGATCCTTCATGTGCGGCGTTTCCATTCCCCTTGGCCCATTAATCAGGTGCTTGTGTGGAAGCAACTCTGTGTCACTGACAGCCCAGCCTCCTGGCTATTAATTCCCCAGCGGATTTTACAGGCTTATCCCTATGTCCATTGCACGAGCTGGCATGGAGATAGCAGTGGTGCACGCTCGAGCAGTGGCTCTGGCAGCAGCATGGGTCGCTTGGGTTTGCATCGCAATGTGGTGTGATGCAAGGCACTGATCTCATCCTGGTGTCAACCTGCCTCTAGTTCTCAGTGTTTCATGAAAGCATTGAAATATCCTAATTTGGACAGTGCAGCTGAAGCAGGATTTGACCTTCTGCCTTTTTCTGTGGGAATTTCCTTTCTGAAAGTTCAGGGCTCCTGAGCCAGGCTTGGGCTGCCTGCTTAATCCTGCCAGAGGCAGCCTGCATCTGCCTGTGGGTGTTAAATCAGATTCACACCTGATGTTCTTATATGTCACTCAGAACTCAGAGGGCAAGGAGAAAAAGAAATCCTGGAAGTACATGTTTGTGTATGCAGTATGCCTTTACATGGCAGGAGGCATCAGGGCTCTTTCCAAGAGGAGGATTTATTCGGAGGAGGGTGCAGGGGAGCCTCTCTTCTCTGTGAGTGTGAAGATACCCTTGTATTTCCATCTGGGATGGCATGTTTCTCAGATAAATCTTAAGATACTTAACAACCTGCTTCTTACCTCCTGGGCACATGAAGCAGGAAAATAGATGTCCCTCTCTGCTGCGCCGTTCTGCCTCTTCTGAAGGCTCAGGCTTGTCCAAGCTGGTTCTTGGTGCCTCTTCCTCTGTACCACAGCCAAGTACTGAGTAATCGAGCAGCAAAAGGGGACGAGGCAACACAGCTCAGCATGAGGCTGTAGCAGATGGTATAGAATCCTAGAATGGTTTGGGTTGAAGGGACCTTAAAGCCCATCCAGTTCCACCCCCCTGCCATGGGCAGGGACACCTTCCACTAGAGCAGGTTGCCCAGCCTTGGCTCACCCGTCTGCTCTCACCTCCGTGCCTGCGGCTGCCACTGTTTGCAGCTCTGAGACACCGTGTTGCAATCAAATGATTATCCAAATATGCAAATCCTGGTGGGAAAGACAATGTAAATGATTTGTTTATCCTCCTCCCTTCCCCTTTGCACAGCCCCCAAGGCCATAAATCATTAACTTTGGGGAGAGATGGCGTATCCTCAACAGCAGCCGCTCCTGTCAGGGATGGGATTTGTCACAGCTTGGGCAGGTTTTCCTGCAGGAGCAGGGAGTTGTCACTTGGCTGGGTGGATGGCTACTGGGAGCCCAGGCTGGGCTGGTTTCACCTTGCTGAATCCTGCAAATATGAAAGTAATGGGACGGCAGCAGCATCTCCCAAGTTTAAGGCAGAGATGGTGTTGCAGGAGGCTTCTGTGGCAACAAGAGGTGGTGAAGATTGAGCCTCATTCTTTGTGAATTCACCAACTGCTGTGGAGAAGGAGCCTTTGCTTTACCTGAGCCCATACGTTGCTTGCCAGCTCTTTGCTGCGTCTCCAGGTTGCGTGCTGAGATTTTGTATTGGATGCCTTTTCCTACCTCATCCTCCTCCCTTCCAAAGTAACGTCAGAGTTTGGCTGCTATGAAATCACCTGTAATCTCTTTGTGCTTCTTCCAGATCCGAGCAGATGGTCCTCCCCATGGTGGGATTCAGTATGAGATGGTGACAGTTTTCAAGGACGGGAGCCCGGTCCTTCGAGACATGGCCTTCTCCATCGATCAGAAGTATCTGTACATCATGTCAGAGCGACAGGTAAGGTGTCTGCTTCCATACCTCCGTGCTTGAGGGTTCCTTCCGTAAGGAGTGTGTTGTTGGAGCACAGGGAGCGGAGGTTCTGTGTTGAGCCCTGTGGTGCTGGGACCAGTGCATGTAGATGGAACACCAGCAGAAGCTCAGTTTTATCTGCCTCTGACCAGAGATTGTCATCAGCGCGCAGGAGAGGGAGTTGTGCCCATGTATTCTTGTCTGCAGGTGATGGAAACAGAGCTGAGCTGCTGTGGTTTGAGGCTCTGAACCATCCCTGTCTAGATAAAGAGATCCTGAGCCTCAGGCATTACGGATTCACTCCCTGCAGCGAGGCTGGCAGGCTGTGGGTTTGCATTGCTTTGTCAGAGCATCCTTTATGACGGCTCTATCTATTTCTTTACTTGCCGGTGTATTTTAAGTGGCTGTGAGTGTGTGATGCTTGTGCACAGAGGTGGGACCAAGCGTGGTGTGGGCATGAGCTCTGCAAGCAATGCTAGCACTGAGTAAGTGCTGTGCTATCCATTACCCTGTTGGTTCTGATGGTGCCCAGCCTGGACCAAAAAAGCACACCCAAAGTGTGTGATGGGAATTAATGGTCAATGGTCCACAAGCGTCTGCTGGGGAGCCAGCATGAGGTAAATAATCTGGGACCTTCAGTTCTTTGAGGCAAGAAAACACATGATGTGCCCACCATTAAGCCAGACTTCTGGGTTCACTGAGTGTTGAGCATTTTACTGGCTATTACTCACGACTGTGTAATTCAGATTAATCGAGCTGGTGCCTTGTGGGTGGTGGAAGCAGGAGAGGGGTTGCATCTGAAGGTTGCTATTAAGTTGCTCTGTGTTGAGTTAACCCTCTGGTCACTAACAGCTTTCCACATCTGCTGGTGAACAACTATCTGTCCTCCCTCCCACCTGCTCCCAGAGGGATGCGATGGAGAGGTGTCAGTGGGAAGTGCTTAAAGATCTGCTGGTGGAGATAAGAGAGCAAGCAGCTATCGTAACAGCTCGCTTTGCACTAGGGAGCTTATAGCTCCTCCCAAAGCCAGCAAAGCTGTTTTGATAACCTGCAGCAAAACAAAAAGGTTGGGAAATACTTAAGTTGGTTATGAAGGGATTTAAAGCCAGGGAATAAATTCTTTAGAAGGGTGCAGAGTCTTCTACCTGCTAAAGGACTTAAACTGAATGAATCCCTCTGGCCAAAGAAGGTATTTGATGCTTTTTAGAGCAACTCGGTGATAGACACTTCTGCTAATGGCCACAAATTTAGGATCCCGTTCCAGTTTGGACTTGGATTACATAGTAATAATGAGGATCTATGCAAACTTTTGAAGTGAAATTAGAATGTTAATGCTGTGGTCATCTTCTCCAGGAGCCACGTGCTCCTTCGTGCTCTCACCGGGGAGGAAAGCATCCAGTGTGTATCTCAAACAGTTGAGGAACTGTTTTCATTCAGAGGAAAATCCAGTGGGAATGCCTCCAGCTCCTCTTTTATGAGGCGTGAGCATCTTCATATTCATCAAAGTGCTAATTTGCTTAATTGTGAAACAAAAAGCAAAGGGAAGGGAAGGGAATTAGCAAATAATAGAATATTCCTGGAACGTTAATTCAATTTCCAGCCACGGCTCTGGCAAAGCACTCGCCTTTGGGGAGACTCCAGGAGCACGGGGACAAGATCCCTCATTCCTTGCGGGAATTGCTATGGGATTTGCCTTTTGCCCTTGTAGAGGTGCGTGCTTTGGGTCCAGAAGTCCCGGCATGCCATTACATATGGATTTCATCAGCTCCTGTGACCCCATTGCCCTAATCCTGGCAATGTGATAGTTCAGCAAAGTGAAGGGTAGAATATATTTTCCCTGCAGTGCTATATAAAGGAGCCTGATGATTGAAATGGGGTCAGAACTGAGAGAAGGAGAAAGGTCCACCAGCTTCAGAGGGCTGGTGGGAAAGGGTGGGACGTGCCCTTCAGAAGTACTGGGAATGTGCAGTAAAAACGTGTTCTGAAGCCTTGAAATCTGGAGCAAAATGCAGTTCTGCCACAGTAAAATGACACAGAGAGCAGCTGTGCTAAACACTGAGGTGTTTCTATGGTGGGATTCAGCTGAGGAATGCGTGCTCCCAGTGCTGATGGGGAGCAGGTCTTTTGGTGTTAGGTACAGACCCACGGTGAGACGCGATGCTCTGTGCTGAATATGCTGAATAAACTGGGATGTGTGGATGCTTCCCACAAAGAGTAGAAGCAACGTTTGGTCTGAAGCCCATCTTCCTTCTGTGCTAGCAGCAGCCAGGATCAGCTTTATGCTGAAATGCATTTAGGAAAGGAGTCGCTTCATCCTAAAATCTGGAGTTGTGGTTGTAGGCGAGTCCTTCCCCCCCTCCCCCTGGCTCCCATCCCAGCCCTGTCTGTGCCTCGCTCCAGTTTATGCGCAGTCCTTTTGAGCTCTCCATGAGCCTTTCATGTTTCGTTGCCAACTTCTTCCAAAGCAGAATATCTGACATTTGATTTCACTCCCACAAAGCACAGAAGCAACAGTTGCACAGCCCAGTCTGGGGGAGAGGAGGATAAAGAAACTTTGCTTCCAGCCACTTGTTCTGAGTTCTTTAACCACATGATTTAAGAGGCTTATTAGGAGCTTTACAGGCTCTTCCTGCTGCACCTGGTTTCAGATGGCTCTTAGAGCAAAAGAGGAACGATTCTCCCAGCAATAGGTCAAGGATAAATGACTTTAAAACTGCCCAAGGGGAGACTGAGCTGAGCTCTTAGGCAGAAGCTCTTCCCTGTGAGGGTGCTGAGGCGCTGGCACAGGGTGCCCAGAGAAGCTGTGGCTGCCCCATCCCTGGCAGTGTTCAAGGCCAGGTTGGACACAGGGGCTTGGAGCAAGCTGCTCCAGTGGAAGGTGTCCCTGTCCGTGGCAGGGGTTGGAGCTGGGTGAGCTTTAAGGTCCCTTCTAACCCAAACCCAGTCGTGTGCTTCTATGACTTTATGATTCCGATCCTATTTGAAGCAGAAATTCATTCCTCAGCATTGCTCTACCAAGCCAACGCTGCTTCTGCCCACAAGCTGAGCAAGGCTTGGATAGCACCTTGCATGCAGCTGAGATGGAGACGCGTTGCCTTAGCTGAGCTACACTGGGTGCAAAACCAGTGACAAATATCCTGCTGACACACCAAACCCCCCCCCCCCCCCCGACTAAAATCATCCCATTCTAATGCTGCGTGTCTCAAGGAGCACACACCAACCCCCCTGCAGAAAACCTTCTAGAATGTCTTGCTTTCAGAGAGGAAGACTGCGAGGCGAAAAAGTGGCTTTATAATTCAGTCCTGAAGCATTAATTGTCTGTGTGTCAGGGAGGTGGCTGTGCTTTTAATGTATGAAAGCCCAGTGCATTTCAATTAAATCAGCCTTGTAGGATGAGAGCAGTTTTACGCTGCCAAAGCTACAACCCCTTTCCAGGCACTGTGTCTGCTCCCTGTGCAAGTTCAAGCTGTTGCAGCGCTGGTTCTGCATGCAGCAGGTTTGACTTTGCTCCCACGTACACCTTCAGCCGTCGTGAGCTAACCCTGTGAGAGGTGGTGGGCATACTTCAGCACAGAGTTTTATATAATCTCCTCATCATCATCTTGGCATCAGCAGAATTGGGGCCAAAGATTTTTGCAGCTCTTGATAGAAGAACAAATTTTGTTATTTTTAATGTGGGAGCGAGCGGAGGCTCCATCAAACACATGGCAGGGCAGGGATTGCCGTCTCCAGAAGATTTCAGCACCTAATCAAGGGCTCTGTGCATGAGATTTAAACCAGCGGGATCAAAATACTTGTAGGAGGGCTTGTTAGAAGGAATCCTGTGCTACTGATGAGAAACATGGCCCAAGAGAATCATAGAATCGCAGACTGGTTTGGCTTGGAAGGGAGCTTAAAGCTCATCCAGTTCCACGGGCAGGGACCAGGTTGCTCCAAGCCCCTGTGTCCAACCTGGCCTTGAGCACTGCCAGGGATGGGGCAGCCACAGCTTCTCTGGGCACCCTGTGCCAGCGCCTCAGCACCCTCACAGGGAAGAGCTTCTGCCTAAGAGCTCATCTCAGTCTCCCCTCGGGCAGGTTAAAGCCATTCCCCTTGGCCTGTCCCTGCGGGGCCTTCTCCAAAGCCCCTCTACAGAGGTCTCTTCCCTTCCCAAACTCAGAGCTGTCAGCCCTGGGGCAGGGGTGTCTCACACTCATGGATTGTGAGTACCGGAGGCAGCGATGGGCTCAGGGTGCAGGCAGGTGCAGAGGAGCCAGGCACTGGAGCAGGCACTCCCCTCCTCTCACTGCCTTGCAGACACCCCGTACTAAGACATGTTTTTCCATCTTGATTTTCCAGCACCTCTTTCAGCTAATCACCCACCGCTTGGTTGTGCTAATCACGTACAGTATTTGATGAAGGGCTGAGGTCATGCGCTGCGGGTCTGCTCCCTGATGGGTGAAGCAGCACCTTCCTAATGAGATACCTGGCCAACATGTTGCAAATGCAACTTTCATCCTCCACGAGCAGCCTCCAAAATCCCTGTGCATTTCATTGCTTCCAAAATGTTGCTGCTCTCAGCTCATCCATAGTTACTTCGTGGTTTATTCTGCCACAGGGGAATGATTTCAGTCTGGTTTTATACAGTATGTAGCAGCAGCATCCTGCTCTTTAACTGGGAACCTCACCATTCCCCTGCTAGGAATAATGGCACATAATCACCCAGTGAAATGCACATAACATCAATTAGCGCAGCCAAGCTTAGGAGGCCATAGACCTCTGTAGCTTGAGATCTACTGAGGATCCTTTGCACCTCGAGCAAGTACCAAATGCTCCATGGTCATTCTTGCCTGCATGTGTGTTGCTGAGCTACGTGTGATGGTGATCCCCTCCATGCCCATTGCAGGTACCATTGCTTTAGGGGGATGCAAGGAGGGTTTAGATGGTGCAGGCTTCTTGTTAGTTTTAAGCAAACACCCACCAGAGCACCTGAGGGATTTCTTGTGGCC